CCCTAATAAATTCCTCTAACGAGAGTCCGTGTGTGCCGGCAAATTCTGTTAGATAGTAACGCCCGCTCGCGCATCCAGTCAGTCTACTACAAAGTGTTCGTTTCTAATTAACGGTCGTGTTCATTAGCGACTGAAAACGAATTTGCGTTCCGTGTGTGTGTGTGTGACAAGATATAGGAAACCCTGGGGCACACGTAATTCCGGTTACATCCAATGCGCACGCGACAATCAGTTCAAAGATTGCAGCGTTCCATCGTTATCTGTCTGCATTTTTCGAATATCTATTCGCTCGTGCCTAAATAATGTAACTTTCTCTGTCGTCGATATTATTATTTACAAATTTAAAAGTAATCACTTATTCTTACGGTATGAGTTGACTGAAGCTAAAGTCTAGCAATTGTATAAAAAGAGGGAAAAAAGAGGCATCGATCGTCGCGTCGGTTAACTTCGGTTTTACGGTGCCAGATCGCATTATGATTATTATATGGACGAATGCATACCTACTGCGGGAATGGTTTCGCCAGGGAAAGAAGTATCGATTTCAATGGACACAACCGTGTGTCCCAGACTGTCACGGACCCCGCAAGGGCCGATGAAGGCGGGAAGCTTGTAGTTGGGACCCCTACGGGCCCCCCCGTCGACAGGCTTTCAGCTTTGAAAGTCATACCCAATGGTAGTGTCTATAGTTCGGGAAAAGGGACCTAAAACCGAAACCGAAACCACTCGAGTTCTATAAGAATAGGACCTCACGGCCATTCTAAACAGAGGCGTGCACGAGAACTCAATACTGGATACGAAATATACAAGTTCACCATGGGTCTCCCCCCTCCCCCGTCTTCGCGATACCACACTCGAGAGAGCTTTCTTCCAGTGAGAGTCAATAATATCGTAAAAGCGGGATTACCAGAATAGGTAAATCTTTAGATCCGATTATGTGGGATTGAAGGGTCGCCAATGCGCGTTAATACGGAGAAATTACATCTCTATTACTTTTGAAAAGAAAATATACTTGTATAACTGGAATAATTAAAAATAGATCAATTGCGATATGTATCGAGCCTACGTATATGATAACAATGATAACAACAGATATTAAATCACTATACTAATGTGTTCTCAAAAGCCTTCCTATTGTCGTCAGTTTACGTAGCGATAAATCTGCAGAGATCGTCTGCGAAATAAAAAGAAATTTAAGGCAGTGCGGCCTCGAGTCTATCCAAAACTGGACTTTAATTATGCAAATCTAACTGAACTCTCGGCCGGCATCTCAAGCGCCGGTTCACTTTCGTTGCCCCGCTGCGAGCGGCCTTTCTGCGCGAGCTCTCTCTCTTTCTCGAAGGCACATACATTAGACGGAAAAGTCTAATCCCGCGTTTTACGACGCCGCTTCGCGCTGTGTAACTCGAAGTTATTATTGTCACCTATGACTCTCCCGACCCGCGAACGTGCGCACGCATAAGCGCACGGATTATAACCGCTGATATGTTCGCTATCCCGCGGAACGCGAACAGCGGATAGCGTTCTCTCATATCCGGAGACTCGTACACGCGGCGAGCGAGGCACCGTTGTACGTACATTGAATGTACCACCGATATAAATTACACACGTCGCGGAACTTCTTGTAAAGCGTAAAACGCTCGAACACGCGGAACAACATCGATATCGTATCTCCTCGCGCTTTCAATTATATCTTCTCTCGAGTCTCCGGACGGAAGGAGCACTATAATCGGATTTGCAATGTTGTTAAAACAAATTAGTTCAACCGTGCTGCGCTTGAAGAATTGGAATTTATACGAACCGCGCGAGCGTCGCGCGCGGATCGCGTCGGGAGATAACGATTCTTACATTTATTTAACCGCGACCGGTTTATTTATCACCCGTGTCTTACTCCGATATACCTCACCGCCCCGCGCGACTTCCGCGCGAAGCGACTCGCGGATCATGCGTATCCAGAGTCGTAAACCTGGTAAACGATCCGCCAAGGCAGCTGGTCAAGCGCAAAAGGCACCCCCCACCGCGTGCTAACGTAACCGCGCAGCGATCAGCGGCAGCCAACGGCACTCGATTCGTGGGTCCTCTCCCCATATAGTAGACGACACGAACCGGCGCTCGTTCCTTTTCAATAATGGTGACACGCGTGTCGGTGTCTCAACCCCGAGTTGTGCTGGTACGCGCACCGCGTGTAAATGCGTGTTCTCGCCTCGGCACCTCTCACGCCCGTGGTAACGCACACACCCCACGACACATTCCCCCAAATAAGGGTACCAGGGAGGCTGCGGTAACGCGCCGATGGCACGCATAATGGCCGTCCGGGTTAGCCAGTCGCCTCCGAATCTCTCTCTCGGTCATTATGTTACCGGTCTTGTTACGGTAAACCCGGGGTGTTAACGTCGTCGGCTACACACAACCCCTCAGCATCATCGGCGAAATGACTCTCGAACGAGGGGGGCGTGTCCTCGTAAATCAGGCTTGGGGCTTTATATTTGACGTTCTCGAAAAAAATTGCGTTATCAGTTGCTTTATTCTTCGTAGCTGCACTGATACCTACCGCACTAACACTGGCGAGTTCAATACAGAGATATAAGAGTACAGCTAAAAGACGTCACAATGCTGAAATTAACAATAAAATGAATAAATAAAATTAAAAACCATTTTTATTATTTAGTATATTCATTCTTTACTTTATTATTATATCTTTTAGAATAAAAGATTAACTTTTCTATAACACTAAAAGATTCTGAATGTTTGTTCTTAAAATGGTTTAAAGCTGTGAAAATCATTTCTTCATCACTGGGGAATTTTTTTCCACGCAAGTGAGACTTTAATTTTGAAAATTATTTTTAATTTTTAAAAGACTTTCTATAATCCTGAAATTTTATTTTAGAGTTCCATAATTATGAGAATTACATTTTTTACAATAATTATTAGTAGCCAAAAAATAATAATTATAAATAAATAAGAATTTCAATTTTCACAGTAACTAATAATTTTGAATATGTTGTTATAAGAATTAGAAGATAATATTAATAAAAACATCAGAACGCTTTAATCAAGATTTTAATTAATTAAAGATTCCAATAACTTTGAAGCGAATACTCATTATCAGATATCAGCGAAGTAGATAAAATCGTACAATAAATCTGAAATTGAGAGATATAATATAAAATACTTTTCGCGCAAATATAACAAGGTATTAAAAAACCATGCGAGTAACGTACAGTTAATTAATGTGTTAACATCCGTTATTCTTACGGATGGTCTGTCATGTTTACGGACTGAATCTGGATTTTGCTGTTTCGTTGCAGACGGAAGTCGAGGACACGAGCGGCGATGGTGCGTGCGACGGCAACGTCGGCGGTCCCAATCTCGCCTGTCCCGAGGGCAGCAGTGGGCTGGTCGTCGGCCCGGAAACGTCGCCGAGCGTAATGGAGTGCGGTGGATGCGGCGAGCGGGTACGCGAGCAGACCGTCCTCTGCGTGGGCGGACGTACGTGGCACTCCAGGTGCCTGAGGTGTTGCGCCTGTTCCAGGCCGTTGCACGATCAGCACTCGTGCTTCTTGAGAGGCATGCGGGTCTACTGCAGGCACGACTACGCCCTGTAAGTCCTATACCATCGATTGGCACTTTCACCTGAAATAATACTCGCGTTACTCTTTTGCTTACGCGATATGAGTGGACAATTAAATCGGCTCAACGAGTTATACGAGTGTCAACAGAAAGAGAACGCGAGAGATGTGGAGAGAGAGAAAGAGAGAGAGAGAGAGAGAAAGAGGGGGAAAATAGCCGCTTCTTTTTGTTCGTATCGCTGAATGAATAAGTAGAATATTTTTGTTGCTGCGCGATGCGCATCGATAGCGATGTAAGACGTACGGTCGTGGAGATCAAAGTCGACGGGACCCGCGGTGACTCGTCGATTGTACGGAAGGCTTCGGGCGCAGCCTGCCCAATGTGTTTATCCAACTGTCAATCAGTTACTTCAGTCACCTGGGTCTCTTGCACCAACCGGGGCCGATATGAGACGTCCGTGATATCCGATCGCTGGCGCGCCGCATCTGGCGATGGCGAACGGTCTGACGTTTGGTTTCATATTAAATTCGTACACGCGTCGTATCGCGCGCGGCGCGTATATAGGAATTGCGAGCGAGGGAACAAATCGCTCGTCGAAATAAATCAATTTTCCGTTCTCGCCCGCGAAAATTGAATGAGATATCCTCATTAATTACGCGAGAATAACGGCTTCGAGATTACTTTTCAACGCTGGCTATAAACTCGGACGAGACCCGGGGTCCGACAGTGTGCGGGAGGTCCGAAGGAATCTGCCGCGTAATTTTTTTGATTCGTGCTTTCTGCCTAGTAACGCTGCCATACGATGACCCGGTCGTCCGCGTCGGCGGGATCTCGACGCGACCCGTGGATCCCGTATAGACCCGTCGACAACCGCCGCCGACAACCGCCTCCGGGAGAATCAGAAACCGTCTCCTCTCCCCCCGTCTCCTTTCGCGCGATAATGGACGAAACGTCCGAAAAGAAAAGAAAGGAAAATAAAATCAAGCGGGGGATCTACGGAGTAAAGCATCGGGCGTTCAAGATTTCACTTCGCCTCCGCGTCTGTCTCCTTCTTGTCTTCTCGCATCGACGTGTTGTAGCTCCCTTTGTATGGCTCTCCTCGAGAACCGGCGGCGGCGTGTCGTAATCGCGGACAAGAGTCGCTCGAAATTCAAATCCTTCCCTAGCTTCCGTCACGTGGGCGTGACGGGGGATCACCTTTAGCGCCAGGACAAGGAATTAGCTGCTTCTCTTAAAGGACAATGGGATTGAGGCGCGCGTATCGGCAGATCAGAAAAGTTTAATCTCGCCGGACGCCGCGCCGCGCGATAGAATCTACATCGCGTCTCTTCCCTTTGTTCTCCATCTCCGTTCAAAAGAATACGTATACAGGATTTCGAGGACATCGCGATGGCCGGCGCACGCGCCTCTTTCTGTAAGCGCAAGGTGAATAAAGCTATTTCTTCGGTGCGCGCGGAAGCGCGCTGCTTATTACCCCACCGCGATCCGGAGCAAGGGATTTTTCGGGCAATAACATCCGCGTCGCGGGGTACAGCGGGGGAAATGACCACCGTGATAGTCGCGTGGCAACCCCAAGATATTCGAAGCGCGCCGAATGTACGTCGCATCAGGCATTCGCAAACACAATCCGCATAAGCGCGACGACGCGGAGCGGCGCGGGGAGAACTCGGGCGGGGTAGTATCGGGTCGGATGCACTTTCCGTGTTCATGAATATGATAATGGGCTAATGGGCCGTCTGGTCGTTGTTTAATTATCGGCCGCGACACTCCCGGCGACACGGGCCGGCCGTACCACGACCGTGCCACGGCTGTGCCACGCCGAAGGAACGAGCATCCTCTCGTTCGCTCCTCGTTGCGCGTCCTCACACGGTAAGCGCGAACCCCGGAGCCATTCATCCGGTCGTGCTCGCCCCGTGTGTCCGTGGCCGTGGTACACGGCTACCGTTTACGGCGTCCGGAGTGTCCGGACAGCGGGGCACCCCGTCGCACGAACGCGCACATTTACCACGCTGGTATTATTAGAATCGATCCGGCGGATTTACATGCGAGCATGCGATACACTTTATTAGAGATCGCGACTCCGCCGCAAGGATCTCGACGGTGTACAACCGCAACCTGTATAATTCCGGCTAATTAATGCACGGGGGACTATTGTATAATTCTCCGGTAGCTTTCTCGCGCGCGCACAACGGAGGTTAATTAAAACGCAAGAGAGCCTCGGATTACCGGCGCGCTGATACGCGCGCGCGCGCGGGTATTGACCGGAAGGCGCGAAGGTATATGGATACTTTGCTCGCGCGTTCTCTCGTAGATCCTTCTTCCCGAAGCTCGCGGGAGGCGGGAGGGCGAAGAGCGAGAGCCGAAGAAATAAACGGCCGCGAAACACGCGCCGATGGAGACCACTCGCTCCCCGACACGAATATCTCTTCTCTAAAGTCTCTTTTCTTCTCTCTTCTCTCAGGATACCCTTCGCGCGTCGGCCTTCGCCTCTTCTTCTCCTCCTTCGCCGTCCGCCACAGATATATTCGAGCGGTTATCATTACACCCCGTGTACTCGTTCGATCGAGTGTCGAGTGAGTCGGCTATATTGGCTGTCGTTATAACGTATATCGCAAAATAAATCCGAGACGCCGCGATACACCTATATACGCTTATAAATGATATACGTCTGCGGCAGTTCACGCAGTTAACACTCGAGTGAGAGTTACGCTTCTTGTGTGTTTTGCAGAACTTTCGGCGCGAAATGCGCGAAATGCGGGCGCAGCGTGGGCGCCGGGGATTGGGTGAGAAGGGCCAGAGAAAGGGTTTATCATCTGGCCTGCTTCGCATGCGACGCTTGCTCGCGTCAGCTGTCGACCGGCGAGCAATTCGCCCTCTTGGACGCCCGATTGCTCTGCAAAGCGCACTACCTCGACGTCGTCGAGGGCAACAACACCTCCTCCGATGGTGAGAATGTCGCACACGAATTACATACGCCGAGAGATATTAACATGAAATAAACATTTCGCCAAACTTACATGAAATTTCAAAAATATGTATAGGATATAAAGTCTTTACGTTTCTGCGAGTAAAAGTAATTATTCCTTCGTTAAATTAATTCTTCAGCGTTAACCCGCTTCCTCAAGTAATTGCCGCAATAACGAATTAAATTAACTTGATGGATAAAAGAATATATACTGTTCGTGATCCTTCGTTGCGTAAGACGCGCTCCCGATCGAGATGGATCGCGTTACGGTGTGGGAGGTAGGTACGGCTAATTGGTACTTTCGCAGAAGGCGGTGACTCCGAGAGTGGCCACAAGGGCGGTAATAAGGCGAAGCGAGTTAGAACCACTTTTACCGAGGAGCAGCTATCCGTTCTCCAAGCGAATTTTCAATTGGACAGCAATCCCGACGGGCAAGACCTCGAGAGGATAGCTCACGTAACCGGTCTCAGCAAGAGGGTAACGCAAGTGTGGTTTCAAAATTCGAGGGCGAGGCAGAAGAAGCATCTTCACACGGGCAAGATGAAGGGGCAGCACGGTAAGCGAGACATCGCGCCGGACGTCTCTCCACAATATTTCCGCAAAGTGTTCGTCGCGATTATATGTAGTCGATAATAATAGTCGTAATTATCAGCATCGAAGGAATGAATTTTTGCAGTGCACCAATCGCCACCAAATTCTACCGCCTCGCCCAACGATTTCGGTCGCCACATCAACTTGCATCTGACATACTCGTTTCAACATCAGCAGCAGCATCAGCAGCAGCAGCAGCCGCAGCTTAGCCCGGCCACGTGCAAGAGCCCGACGGGCTCGATTTATCACAATCATGGTAAGAGGTCGTTCGCAACATCCCGGTCGTACGCAACATCTCGGGATGAGCCTCGCGTGAAAGATCGTCGCCGCGGTCGAAGGCTCCAGAACGGAGAGATTCGACAATTAATTAGAGATTGGACGGGATCGGGTACACGTGTAATCGCGATTCCATTAACTCTGTTCTCAGGATCGGAGCAGTCGATGGACGAGCTCTCGCAAGACTCGATGCTGCTGTCTATGCCGAACGAGGTTTAATGACGATTTCGATTATATTGTAAATACATGGCGTTGCTTTAAAAAGCGTCGAAAGATAGAGAGAGAACCACGTCTCGAGGAAGCACCGCTCAATTTCCCGGGTCATCGTTTTATTTAAGCCTCAAGAAAAAGTGGAAATTCACACTCGTCGCGCTATTACTCTTCGATGACGCACTTTCGAGTTACGCTCGCAACATATATCTCGCGCTCTCGGTGTTATAAACTTACTGGAACCATTATTGTTCCGCGTTATACGCGCGAAAAAGTGTGTGCATGTATGCGTGAGTGTTGTGTACACATGTGTAACTTTGCGTCCCGCAATTTTGAATCGATCTATCTGCCTATCACTTTCCCAGTTGTATGTGATGATTTTGTACTCGTTCTCTTCCCTTCGTCTTTCCGTCTTTCTTTTCCCTCATGCCTGATGCAACCAGAAGGAATTCGTTTTAACGGAATTTTTAAAGCGAAGATAAGCGTAAAAAGAGACGGATTCGTATTCTGGGCACTTGTTATGAATCTATTCGGCAACAAATCCGTTGGGAATGATTCGGTTTCTCGTCACTTGTCGTATTATGAACATTCCGAAATGATCGAAAAGTTTCCGACTATATAAAATCTTAATCTTAAATATCATCATTTTTGGATATTAAATAAATGGATATTAAAATAAATGACGATCTAATCTTTGCCATATAATCTTCAACATATTAATAATAATAATATTAATATAATATTAATTAATTAACATGTTCAACAAGATCATATGATAATTAGATTATTATTTATCTAATGTCAAAAATTATCATATTTAAGATTAAAGAATAACTTGAAGTATGATTATTTAAGTTCATATTTTATTGCATATTATAATTTTTACTTTTTTATTATAATGGATACAAAATTAAAAAATTAAATATAAATATTTTTACTTACTTTGTCATCCTGTCGCTGCTGTTGACATTTAAAATATATTTTTCAAGCTATGTTTGATTAAAACAGTCCGTTTTACACGTTTTACTTACTTTCATTTCATACTTGACGAGACATACGATAAATCGATTCCGTTCATACTTCGATAAGAATTCATATATAATAATCTACACGGACGGAATCGCGATCGGAAACTTGTGGGTCGGAAACTCGTAATTCCGATCGGAATTTCGAATAGTTGCATAATAAAGTGCCCTCCGAACGTCATCGAAGACGTAATTCGCGATTCGCGTCGTCGACGGAATTTCGTTCTCGTCCCGTAGCAATGCTTGAAATGAAAGTATCTTTCGTAGTAATCTCAATAGTCGTGTAAAATCATTCAATATGAATGTCCTGTGATGTAAATATTGTAAACTAAACGTATATAAATATATGCGATTGCACACGTTGAACAAAAGTAGTGGCCTTCGTCTCTTGTCCATCATGACCATCTCCCTTCGGATATCTCCCTCGCGCGATATTCTGTCTAATTGTATTATTTGTAATCGGAGAATCGGATAATAATTGAAGGATAATAATTGCGACAACGGCGGTTAACAATAAAAGGCGTTTTATTAATAACAGTACGGTTTGTAATATTGCAGCGACAAGTATGCGATATTAAGTTCTGATCTCCACGCGTCTCTCTCACTTCACAATACTCCTGTATTTACCTATAGAAGACACATATGTACAAAAGCTACAATTCGCTCTATATACAATCTCGTATACTATGAATAAAGAATGCCCACGTCCAAGTTTCGAAAGACGGACGCGACAATCTAGAGGTTGCGTTCTTCTTCCCCCTTCATCGCCCAAGAGACTCTATTCACCATTTCGCAAGTAGATGTAAATCGTTACAGTTCGGAATAAATAAGCTTAATCTAACTTTTAAATATGAAAAACTTGTACCTTTCATACGTTACATATCGTACTACTGATAAACGCGCGCTTATTTTACATCTCCTCGGGATATATGTACAATTAATTTGTCTTAAGAAATCCGTCGTGTGTAATTGTTAATTCTTTGCACTCGCGTGATAATTCGAAACTACCGTATCAGTTAGCTCGCGATACATTTCTCGACTTGATTTTTTTGTGCACAGAATATAAGAAAGAAATGGATATAGCGAGTTCGTGTCACGATTTTTTTGTGTATGTCTTCGAATTATCTGCAACTAAAAAGTACACGTACGAATGCAAAAGATTAATATCAATGGCTTCGTGGAAACATTCACGTCGGATTATCCTGCCGGATGGCAGAATTGGGCCTGCAAGTGGTTCGGCGTCGTCGGTGTGAGCGGAGTCAAAGGTGTGAGGGGCGTTAACGGGCTACCTGGACTCTCGCTACCGGCATTGCTGGCCTGATAACCACCGAGATAAGCGCCGACCACGTTAATCCCACCGGGATACAGATCGATCGGATGATGGTGCATCGGCGGCGAATGATGCACTGCAAGTACACGAAAAATAGGGGTTTTGAATCCCGTGTATAGGGACACTTCCCGTGAGAGGGTTTACAAGCGGACGCGCTTACTTTGAGTCTTGATCTTGCCGCTGTGTTTTTTCTGCCTCGCCCGGGAATTCTGGAACCAAACTTGCGTGACCCTCTTGCTGAGACCGGTCACCTGGGCTATCCTCTCGAGGTCCTGCCCGTCGGGATTGCTGTCCATTTGGAAGTTGGCCTGCAGAACCGCGAGCTGTTCCTCGGTGAAGGTCGTTCTCACGCGTTTCGTCTTGCTGCCTTTGCCGCCGTGTTCGGAATCGCAGTCCTCCGACGACGAGGTATTGTTACCCTCGACCACGTCCAGATAGTGAGCCTTGCAGAGCAGCCGGGCGTCCAGAAGCGCGAACTGCTCGCCCGTGGAGAGCTGACGGGAACAGGCGTCGCAGGCGAAGCAGGCCAAGTGGTAGACCCTGTCCTTAGCCCTCCGCACCCAGTCCCCGGCGCCCACGCTGCGTCCGCATTTCGCGCATTTCGCGCCGAATGTCCTGCAAAAGGCGCGAACGGCGGGGATTTCTCCCGTGTGAAAGCCGTCACGTGACAATAATTCGCCGTCAACTTTCCAACGCGCGCGAGCGTTAAAAAAAAGTTAATCGATGACGCGCGTAATCAATGACAAAGGGAGTCGATTTCGGCCGATCGGTGTACCGGTGTACCGCCCATTTATCACCCACTTACCGTCATTCATCATTCATCGATTCGCGCGAGTCTCTCTCTCTCTCTCTCTCTCTCTCTCTCTCTCTCTCTCTTTTTGGACGAGGCGCACGATCACGAATATGAACGCGGATAATAAACGCGGTTCTCGCGGCGCGTATCGGACTACAGTCTCGATCGCGCGGACACAGGCGAAAAAACTATTTTTATCCCGCTGTGACGGCAGGTTCATCCGAGACCTCCGAGAGCGCGAGGACCCGGCGGCAGTCCTGTCCTCATTAACATATTACTCAGCCACTCGATGTCCTGCCGACGAGGCGTCGGAGCCTCCTCGATTTAAGGATCGGTATCGCGATTCGAAGAGTAGATTACGTCGAGATTATTTCGATGTCTCAGTCGTGCGGCTTCCGATCTCTATACAAATGGCTCGGGCTCTTTGAGTCCATGCCGACGAGACGTGCGAGGTGAGGATCTAGAAAGGATTCGGGGAAAGAGACGAAAGAAAACTCTACGGAGAGATAATTAATTATTGGGGACAACGAACAGGGCGAAGGAAACTGAAATGTGAATTTCTGCGAAGGTCATGCCACGCATGTGCCATGGGAATATATCGCAAAAGGAGAAAAGAAGACGGAACGGGAAGAAGGGAGAACGAAGCGGAGGAAAAGAAAAAGGATCGATAAGAAATACAGACATATAGGAAAGAAGGAAAGAAAAAGGAAGAGAGAAGCAAGAGGAAGAGCATAGAGACGACGAAGCGGAGGAAGAAGTAGAAGAATGCATCAACGACCGATCGACCACGGCGTTATTGTATGGAAAAATATGGTAAGCTCATGGAGGGATTAGTCTTTGCGTCTGCATAGTCATCGTCGCATGACGCGATGTTTTCGGGGGGGGATATTATTGGTTATGGTGATATCGCGCAAAGGGCACGCCTAGGAGCTAGCTCCGTACCGATCACGATCGTTTTACGATCCATGATCCATCTCTTTTTGCCCGTCTATCTTCTAGAATCTAGAGCGTCGAAGTTTAACGAGAAGTATCCCAATAATTTCGACCAATTTTAAAAGCAGCGCCTGCACGGCTTCTCTTGTGGAATCCTTTTCGCGTGTTTTCGCAAGAAGCGAGTTTTGCGACGCCGAAAATGTTTCCCCGAACACGTGGGATCCTCCACCTTCGAAACGGCGGATCTGTGTCGCCGAATGTGTCGCTTCAGGTAAATAGTAGCGCCCGCTGCTCTCTCTCTCTCTCCCCGCTGCTGCCCCTCGGTTTCGTACCCCAGAAGAAGAGCGAGGATTTAACGCACCGAGGAAGGGCAGAGGGCGACGAGGGGAATCCCGTGTATCCGGCGGCGGCGAGAGAACTGGTATTGGGTATCTATAAATCTTCAGGGCTGTACGCGCGCGTCGGCTACCAAACGACCCCGCCCTAATTTATTCATTTGTTCTTCCACATAGGCGGGCCCTATAAGTCAACGGGGGATTAAGTTGGGTGCTTGCCGGTACCCAGACACGCTGCGAGAGAGCATGATCGAATCCCGCCGGCATGCGGATCGCGATCGAAGATCGAGGCGAAGTACGCATCGGCGATCCAAGTTAATTGCGTCTCGGTAGCAGCGTAGAACGAACAGCTCGTCATAATTTACGCAGCGATGCTTATATGTATATTTTCTGGTAAATGATACCGAGGAAGGATTGTCAGTTCGTCAATTGTGTAACGTTATCGCTGTAATATATAACGCGTTATTTCAGTCGAATGGACGCGTTATTTGGTCAAGTCAAAGAATCGCGATTATTTTGCTACGTCTCGAACGACACCCGGCACCCGCGAGGTATGCGGCCTTAAGTGCCGGCGAGGTGGAAAAGATAACGCCGCGATTACGGCGACAGGTGGTCCCGATGTCGGGGACATGCGAGTCGCCGCTTCTGCGTTGACCACACCGAATTGAGAAAACCGGAATCTCGTGGCGAGGGAAACCGCGCTAATAGAGCGATTTTTGCCGCGAGCGGCCCATCGAATCACTTCGACGCCCGAGCTCTTCTTTTTTCGGTCGAAACGTACGAAAGCGACGAAAGCGGGGAAAGGATTGGGGTGCCCGGCGTCGGGAAGGACAGGGGGGCGCGCGGGCCCCGGGGTCGGGTGAATATTTATTAATTTCAAAGACCACTCTATTTCTCTCTCTCTCTCTCTCACTCTCTCTCCTTCTCGCCCTCCGCCCTCCCTCGCTCGCCCGAAGAAAAGAAGCACCGCGCGCGGCTCTCGCACTCGGATGAAGGCGGGAAGAAGGAACGGTTCGAGGATCGCAGCTGGCTTCGGTGCCTTACGAGGCGAATTCCTCAGTCCTCCGGAACACTGACACTAGGCAGTCCCATCTCGAGTGACTCGGCACCCACATACACGTACGCCGTATATTTGGTATACGGAATCACGAAGCGCGAAGTAACCCGCTTTCGGGACATTGATAAATTAATGATAGCCGGGCGATTCCTTCCCCGCCAGCTATATCGTGTACCATCCTAGCGTGTTATTTTTCGTATCGTCGGACCTTTCGGGGCCCTCTCTCTTTTCTCTTTCTATCCCTCCCTCCTCTCTTTTTGTCGCCCGAAGAGAATTGGAGAAATACTTTGTGAACATCGCGTAACAAAAGCTACGTCTAAGTCCAGTCTAAGGTAATATGAACGGATTACGCGCGTCTTAGGGGAGGGCAAAAATGGCGGGGGGAAACGTACAGAGGCGTAAAAGCCGTAGCGAGGGGATCTCGCGAAAGAGTCAGACGGGACAGAGGGTATTTATTTTTTTCCGCGTTCTCGCCGGCGCGCGCGAGACAGTGAGACGTCGAGACGTCAACGTGACTCGCAGCTCGTGCTGTGCGTGAGCATGCGTGATACACGAATGCACGGTGACGTGAATAGCCGGCTATACGTGAGGTCCGCACCGCACGGGTAAAAGGGGAGAGGGGGTGGAAGGAGAAGACGAGGAGAGGCAGAACTACATTGGAAGACATTAATCACCCAATGGCGACTCTCTCGCGGGCGCGCATCTCGGACACCCAATACGCGCGCTTATGGATGTCTATCGATGTAGAAATACCACATCCGTATGCCCAACACGCGCGCGGACGTAGCCACGTGACTCGGGGAGACGGTTATTCGCGCGATTGACGATCCAGACCCGTGGCTCTTTCGCGCCCAAGAACAAAGGATCTTCGAGGGGCTCAAGGGGTCAACGGCGCGCGATACCGAATATTTCGATAATATATACCGATTCGCCGGCGACGACTCTTCGACGTGGGGAAATCGGAATCGAGCGGATTGCGGTATTGAATTTGTCTATATGTGACAATCTTTTCTAGGTGGACGGCGGGAATGGGGGTGGGCAGGGGGTCGCGCGGCCACGGTAGCCAGTCTCTTAAGCCGGGTTTTAGGTCGACTCGATCTCGAATCTCGCGTCAGCGGGGCGTCCGCGTAAGTTGCCCTCGACGAAGCGGGATATTACTGGGCTCATCGATAACGTCCAGTATAATCCTTTCCTCTACCCCGCCCTTCCTCTCCCCGTCGACTCGCGATAGCAGCACGCGGAATGCGGATCCGCGCACGGAGGACAGGTTGACCCTTCCCCCTCGCCTCCCGCGGATCGAACGGACGGCCCGTCGGATGAGATATACGAAGCGACGTTCGCGTCCAGAGTGCAGGAATAGATTTCCGGGATAGAACGGATTCCGGGGCGCGCGGATTCTAATCGGCAATCGCTTGCCGTGAACGGCCGACTCTCCGGCCGGCGAGAGGTGCCGGAGAATCGGACGAGGGCAAATTCGGCATGCAAATGTTTGCACTTACAGGGCGTAATCGTGCCTGCAGTAGAGCCGCATGCCGCGCAGGAAGCAGGAGTGCTGATCGTGCAGGGGTCTCGCACAGGCGCAACACTTTAAGCATCTCGAGTGCCAGGTACGACCCCCTACGCACAGGACGGTGCGCTCGCGTACGCTCTCCCCGCAGCCGCCGCAGTCCATCTCCATAGCGTCATATCCGTTATCGCTGCCGCTCTTTTTCGTCGCGACCGCGACGTTGTTGTTACTGGTGTTGTTGTTGTTATTATTGTTGTTGTTGTTGTTATTGTTGTTGTTGGTCTTCGGGCACAGAACGCCGTCCGTGCACTCGGACTCCGTTTCCATTTCAGTCTGCAAGAATGTGGAAGAAACATGCATTAGCGGGTATAACAACATTTTATAATAAAGAAATTATTGTGCGCGTGAAGTTGCTTTTCTGCTTATGTTGCACATAAGAGGACAGGTTTCCCTAAGCGGTAATTAACGAGATAATGCAGTTTGCGGTCTGCCGCAAGTGAATCTCGCGAGAGGAGAGAAAGTCGGCTCGCGAAAGACGTAAAAGATGCGGAGCTGATACGGAGCGTCATTCCCGAGTCGGTATAAGAGACACTCGACTCCGGCTAGGGGGGACTCCGAATCTGCCGATTAATGCTCGGCAAAGTGAAATAATGGACGATCCGCCGCTTCGGGGACCGCCGCCGGGGGCGCGCCGAGTGATAAATGATCCCTCGTGCCTCGACGACGCATAATCGCGTATACGCGAATTCACGCCCGCGCGCGCGCGCGCGATGGTCTAATTATTCGCGGGTCCGTGTCGACGCGAATCTTGAAGCGAACCGCTGGGAGACCCCAAAACCTGGCGCCAGGTTGTCGGCAAAATTTTTCATCGTTACACATATCTGGATCTTATCGAAATGAAGCATAAAACACCGCATCGATATGCGCGCGAGACGCGTTATCTCGAGCCGGCTATTAGAACTACTTGGACGCCGCGATTAACAATGTTAATATCATCGTTAATATCATCTACGTCTCGGCGATACCCTTTTTTCTTCGCTGTCGCTGCCAAGTCGACGGCGACGGCGCTCATTGTGCGCGATGCGTCGCCGGAGATAAACGCAGAGATACCGTCTATCAGATCCGCGCGCGGATTTCTTTCGCCGAGCCCCGTCACGGCACGCGCACGGCACGCCGGCTCGTATGCAGATCATATATGATACCCGATAATATTAATTGACTCACGAGCGGCGCACAAGGGGTATTGTTCGCCCCGGGAGGTGTGCGATGAGTTAATTACCTCGCGCGACCGGCACGCTAATTCGCGCGATTCCTACGCCGACGATTGAACGCGCGGGGAACGTGGGATGTCGAGAGAAACGATACTTCCGAGCTGTTGGTAGAGTTGCTATAATCAGAGTTTGGATACCTCGTTGACAATTTTTGATTGCTCCGCCATATGTTCCAGCCAAGAAGTTAGTAAGAATGAGATAAAGCTATAAGTGGGAGTGAGACAAAGCTATCATTGGTCGCTATATGCTTCAGTCAAGAAGTCGATGAGAGTGAGACAAAGCTATACACGTGTCCAAACTCTGATTATAGGAACTCTAGCTGTTGGGAAAGCAGAGTGCCACGCGGCGGCGAGCTTCTCGCGACGTGAACGCGAGAACGTCGGGAAAAACACGAAAACCCGCGCGTCGCGGCCGTCAGACATCTGTGAAGCTGACGCGGCCGCGACGGCCAATTTCGAGGATCCTTCCGATTCTCCCCCGTCTTCGTCCCCGCCGTCGCCGTCACGTTGGAACTCACGTTCTACGCACGATTCTACACGCGCGGGACCGGTGTAATCATTTCATGTGCACAACCGGACAGCTATTGATTTATGACTCGCCCGAAGGCGAAGCTGAACTTCCCACTTGTGATTTATGCTTTTCTCTGTCTCCTCTCGCGTGTGGAAACCACCTTCGCGTACGCTGCTTCGCGTCGCGCCGCGCATACCGCGCGCGATACCTCGATTTATTAGTATCGTCGCACCGGGCGATGAGTTTTAAGTGTCGTGCAAAAGCTCTCGAAAGGGGAAGCGCTCCCAGTCGCGGGCTGACCGGATGGAAAAATCGTCGAAACGAGTTATACGAATAACGGAAGGCAAAGACGCCCGTACGGACGTCTCCAAGACTCCAAACGAAACGTCTAACGTTGATCAAGATGGATTTATGCTAATTCCAGGCGTTCGAATTAACGTGCGTATGAGCGTGCACAATGTACAAATTAACGGCAAATAAATGGCGGCTTAAGGAGGGAAGAGAATAACGTGGCGCACACGCAATTTTCTGGAGTGTTAATGAACAGCACGGCGCCGCCGCTTGTTGTTAAATAAGGATGTCTACCAGAGATATATACACCAGGGAGTCCTTTTTGCTAGAATAGGCTTTGACCGTGGGACTTCATTTGTACCTGCCCGAATTTATGATCGCTCGACTAAAACCCCAGCCGTCCCCGCACTCAAACAGGTAATTTTTACAACAGCCTGGAATCTAAGGCTTAAAAGCGTCCGTTTGGCCACGGCTGTCCGCAAAGGAAACGACAATATCGTTTTCTTTTTTCTTTCTTTTAATGTAATTTGAGGGCACAGAGAGTTATTTTTATCAACGTGATAAAATTCAAATAATAGAAACGCGCGTTCAAACTTAACGAATTTATTCTGGAGAATTCGCTGTTCATAAATTATCACAAGGTCCATGAATGCAGATACACGTAGCCTCGCGCCACGTGTGTGCGCGCACCCTCTTTCTCTCTCTCCGTCCGTTTAAAGAAAAGATTAAGATCTGTCAAATATTCTCCCACGCGCGAATCCGAACTGACGAGTTCCCATTTTCGTCTGTCCGTTGCTCGTTTTGGAACAGCGCTTTCTGCAATCAGCGAGCGAGAAAGAATAATAGGTTCCATTTTTTATTCGTCAACGAGCCGGGACGAGGTGGACGGTAGATGAGCTGACAAAGTGAGAAATGCGGAGGCAAAGCCGGGCCCGGGCGCGCGGACCTCGGGACTGTCGGACTACCGGACACTCGGCGTGCTACCGGACGTCCTTCCTGTGGTCTTGCAATTTCGGTGTCACGTGTAGAACGATATACTGTCCAAGCCGAGAGGTTAATCCGACGAGTAAATGCAATACTCCTTTTAGATTCAAGCTAATGCTATTTTTAATCAATGTTTTTCTTTACAAATCGTTTGTTTTTTTAAAAAACAGTCTTGCCAGAAATAGGAACGGAAGAAATTCGACGTATTTATAGCGCACATTTGTAGACTTGTACACCACCACACCACAATAAACTGTTCAAAAGAACTTACCTTCATAATTATGCCGTCGCAATTAATCCAGACGCGATTACGCGCTTCTTCTTTTCTTCATTTCGACCGTCGGAGTGTAATTTCTGTCCCTACTTGTTACTCGCGCGATTTTGCCGTCTCTCCTCACCCTCCTCTTCGCATATACTACGAAATTCGCGAACCAAGTTCTCCACCAAGCTCTATCCCACGGATTTGTGCCGCGACTCGGCTCGCTCGGCCCGATCATCCGTCATTCGTTTGACGCAGATGCGAGAACTGCGGCTCTGGCAAAGAATCGAACGACACCCTACTCCGGTCGGTGCTAAGAGAAGACTGACATACTCGGTTCTGCCCCTACCACCGCTGCTCGATGGGCGCAGGGATGGGCGATGGAAGTGCAGCGCGTGGGGATGCAGGATGAGGATGGTCCGGCACTCTCCGCACACTCACACGCGCGTGCCCAACGCTCGTGTGTCAATGACGACCGGACTGTCTACCATAAGAGTGCACACTCTAGGCGAGAAATATTGTCGGGATCCATTGCGCTTTATAATCGAAATCCTAGATAGACGTCGTAATTGCGAGTTGATGCCTCGCTACCCGCTAAAATAGATTTAAAAAAAAAACAGCATTGAGATACGGTATCTTGCGCAGAAAGAGGGAGACCATCGGAACTGTCGTATATCGATGCAACAACACGCAATTCGCGGGCTCGCTCTACATATGTGTCGGGTACAAGGGGGGTTGCGAGACAGATAGGTGGTGATAATAGGTGACAGAACACGGACGGAGAGGATCGAGGATTCCGGCCAGGACGTTGGGGTGAGCGTCGGATAAGCTCCGCCCACCGTGCCCGCCCATGGTTCCCTCGACGTGGAACGGAGTCCACGTTCACGGGAACGGGACGCGTGTGAGTAGAGACGGGGTGTAGGTACACGTTGCTCGCGCGGCGCGGTAGACGGTGGGTCGCTTCGCGAGCTGGAGTACCTTATTGTCGGCGGCCCAAACTGCCGAATGGAATTTCAGCGGTGATTTCGCAAACTCCAGCCCGAGTCTTCGCGCAAACTTCGTTTGCGAGTCACAGGGGCACATCCGATATCGCGCCGCGCTCCGACGATGTAGGAGTATGCGTGCGCTCCTGGCACGTTTGCCGAGAGCCACCGTGAAATATCCTTCACAGCTCTAAAACTTCTATCTAAAACCTCTATGACAACGTCGCCTACCGTTCTCGTTTTCTCACAAAATTAAACACTTCAACTAACTTAATAAAGAGATAGCAACTTCGATCAAGCTGGATCTTTATTGTAGCTTAATAATATTTTTAAGAATGTTTTAGTATTTTTAAAAATATTATTAAGCTACATGCTTGATCGAAGTTAAGCCATATCTCTATTTACTTGAGAATCACCTATCGGTCGAAAAGTTTCACTAATTGTTAAAATTTCCACGAACTTTTCATCCCCCTCTCCCCTCGAGCGAGACAAAAAGGAAGAACGTTTAATATAATTTTATGTTAATCACGTATCGAGGATACGAAATGGATTCTCTCCTCTTTCGTCCGGATAAATATGAGTTTTCGAGGAAGTTCCCAGCACCTGTTTGTATTTTCACCGCGCCGAAGCCCGAACCGTAAATCATCCCCGAATAGACCGGCGGCTTTTATCACCGCTATCCCTCCCCCCGCCCCGCCTATACTATTTTCTATCTCTTTACATGCGTTTTTAGCGTCACCACGCACACAGGCGCAACGCATGGCGCGCTGCGGACGCGCGTATCCACGTCCACGCCCAAAATGAATATGAATTTCTCGCTCGTTGTGGAAAACTGTCAAACGGGTTTTCGAGTTCTGTCGCCCGTGTGTTTTATTGCCGGGCGACCGGTGATCCGTGAAATGAAACGTCTCGCTTCTTAAGCGCTCAGCTTCTCTCCGGAAAGATGGACGATCAATGAATCGTGTATACTGTATACAATCGAACGAATCGTGTCCCGCTGCTGTATTAATCGTTAATCGTTACGTAATTCCACCGAGACATCGTCACAAAGTATTGCGGTATCCCGGAGACATCCGCGTGCTCGATGCACACGGGGATGCACGAGCGTGCATTTCCGCAGAGTCCGCGCGCGGCGCCTTTATTTATTAACTCGAAGCAAACGCGTAAAACCATGTAAATTTACCTACGTGCGCCAAAGTCTCTCGTGTCGCCTCGCGCTCGCTTCGAGAACGGGCCATTAGTAACGCTTACCCGGCATAAAGCGAGAAAAATGGCGGTCGAATTATTCCGGTGGCGAAGCCAACTGTGAACAAAGGTCCTTCTTCGCGCGAGGCGCTCGGAGGATTCTCTCTCTCGTGGCGCAAACCCGCGGGGTTCCACACCCCGTCCCCCCGTCGTCGGTGCCGAACAAATCGAAGGCGACAACGCGACGGTCCGACGCATCCGGCGATCCACGAGCCGTTCGTACGTGCCCATTAATCGACGCGATCGAGAGCCAAGCCCGTCGACGGTCACCGAAGAGCATACCAAGGCGATGCGGCAATCACGTGCATCCACGGAAAAAAATTGGATAATTAATAACGTACCGCACAGTCGCGGGTATCTGAGAGTACCGATGCCGCGACATTTACATACATATATATAGCGATCCGTATATCAGTAGGCTCTTTATGTTAGTGCCAAGTACCCGGATACTACGCGGCGGACTGTAATACTGATGGGCGTGATTATTAGCTATGACGTCGCACAATATTTTGATCCAGATAGTCACTCTCGTATTTTTTTATCCCCTATTGACCGCCCCTCGCTCGCTCCCCGCATTTTACACGCCGAGTTAAAGAGGCTCTCGCGGAGTTTCTTAAAAATGTGTCTGGAGAGGAGTCCCCGGTCACGAGGTCGGTGTAGGACACCTATTATTATCATTAAAATGATCGCCCATCGGACCTGTTCGCGTTCGACATCGGGCCGGGATGTGCCACAAGACCCCCAAGCCACGGAACCCGTGACTCTATTGTCGCCCAGGTCCCCGGAGTTTCTCGTAAAAGAATACAAATTCGAGAAAGCGAGCTAGCGTGTCGCTCGCACCACTAACCACCTGCTGTGCAAACAGCGGGAACGTTATAAAAATCCGGTTCGCTGCCTCTCAACCGAAGACGCGAGTGTTTAACAACGCGCGCTATCTGTTTCGCCTCCGCGTTTATGTGGATCACGACGAAACAGTTGCACAAGCGATAAGGACAAACCTGTAACAGCGCGGCCTTGGCCCGATAAATCTTGGCAGTTGCCGTGAAACGTCGCGACACACCTCGATCTTTAACCCTTTGAACATTTCGCTCAACATAGGTCTTTACGCGAAAAGAGTAACGGAATATCCTCGAAATAATCGAGATGCCGTATTTATCTTTTTTTTAATCCGCACAGAAAAATAATGATGTTGTATGAACAGCATCAGTGTAATTGAGATAAAACCTATTGATGCAACATCAATATTAATGAACAAAAAACATCAGATAATTGTGTGTTTTAATAATTTAAATATTTGGCCCAATAATATCCAATTGAATTAAATATTTATGTTTGTAACAATCCGTGACGTCGACGTTTAATCAAAGCAACTTCATTTTTTTTCCGTGTACGAATTTTCTGATTTGTTGACTCTGTCCTAAAAAAAAATTATTGAAGTCGCGAACGATCGGAAACCGCGTGTTTTTTCACGAATTGAACTTCAGAAATACGAAATAATTCTCCGCGACAATTTCGCAGATTCGAAATTCTCAGGGTGTGCCTGCCGCGCAGCAGACGCGAGCGATTGCGACGGTAACGGAGAGCCGACGCGACGCGACGCGACGCGACACTCTCCCATCCTCCCCGTCTCCGCATCCTACATTCAACCTCCTCCTGCCCTGTGATCTCAGGGCGCCTGTGTTTCATCCCTCTTGAAGTTAGCTAACAGCAGGATCCTGCACAATATAGTCGTGATTGCAAATCCGCTCGTTATCGCCAAAACTGTGCTCAACCTTACGAAAACCAGCTCCCGCCCTGCGAACTCCCTCGCTCTCTCCTTCATTCTTCTCTCTCTACCTATTTATCTATCGTCTATTTATCTTTTTCTCACAATATGTACCGTCGTTCGCAATTTCTTTGATGAAACAAAAAACTTTTTTCGCGTATAAATATTCATCGCCTGTTCGGCGTCGCGAAACATACTCGGGGAAAACAAAAGGATATTTAGTTTATTTTCGGTCGCAAAAACTCGAAAAACGAATTTCGCGAAGACTGCACGCACGTCAAGAGGACTTTAATTTGAGTTGTAATTGAAATATAATAAAAACACAGATTATTTATCGCTGAGAAACAGCAACACAGTTGTCGAACGACGCGCAATTAAAGGCGGCCTTACGTATCATGCGTTTGGTCGAGTCAAAAATTGCGAGGATAAATAGCATATTTGCTTACACACGAAAGAGGCAGAATGTGTACGCCGTGGTGCAGGTCGAAACACACTTCTGTCAGCAAAGGCGATCAAATATTAACCGGCGAAACACTCCGATGATTGCACAGGTGCGAGAAGATCGATCTCCGAAATTATCGGCCCACGAAATTATCTCTGAATGTTATCGGCAAAATTATTGAAATCGAACGTATATATGTATAGCGTTTCTGTATTTATATACTATACACGGAGAAAATTTTATAGTAAATATTACTATGGTGTCGCACTAGCTGCAGACCATCGAGGAATTTTAAGTTAAATTACTATGTTTATGGTAAAAATTACGTTATTTTATCGTTTTTAAAACAATAATTATAGTATTTTAACTTAAAATTTCTCGATGGTCCGCAGCTAGTGCGACACCATAGTAATATTTACTATAAAATTTTCTCCGTGTATAGTTGGCGCGAAATCAATTGAAAAATTATATTAAATTCGATCGTAAATCCACGTAGGCGCGAAACTTTTTTTGTATTCGCTGCTTCTAATATAATTCCAAGTTCGAGCTATGAGATCACGCTACGAAGATCGCTATTCCTTTCGGTTCCTCGAGGATGATCGACGACAAGGGCCGCGGAACAATAACGGGTGAGTTTTGGTAGCGCATGCCGACGATTCCCGCTCACCTGTAATAGCACACAGGTCGTTTCGTCATCGAACGAGAATGCCGTGGGGTTTCGATCTAAGCAACGACGACGTTCGGTTCACGCTGCCTTCATTCCCGGAGGACGATCGACCGAAGCTATAACACACGATTACGTCGGACGTTTTGTTAGTCTAGCACGGGGGATAGATACCGAAAAAATAGCGACGACAAACGGGATTAAGACT